CCAGGACCGGATCATCAGCTGGTACTGACATCAATGGAATAATGCCAGTTTACCCCAACTACAGATTTGGCTTCCAAAGTGATGCCTGAAGCTGAATTTATTGTGAGAAAATATATTGGTGCCAGTCTATGAAAGCCAGTTATTATCCATGTGAAAGTAATCTTCCTTGCCAAGAGCCCCCCCATATGCTATATTCGATAGTAACGAAGAGTGTTGGCAAAAAGAGGTCCCACATGAAATTTGAAGTTAATGAACTGAGGTGGCATGAAAATGAGCATTTAAAGAATAAAGCAAAGGCTCTAATAGAGTTAAACCAAGACACACACTCTGTGGAGATTTTATGTTTCTGTCTTCTTATATTGTAAAGTAAATTTTCACCCCAAGAAATGTCCTGATCTATATTTTAATGAGCCTCTCCACGTGACATACATTTTTTGTTTCATTTACTATTAGTGAATGACAAGTGAAGGATATTCATTTTAACTTGAAAATGTCAGGTATGCACTTTAAGAGATATATTTTTCCCGTTTTAATGAGGTGGTGTTTCTTTTTGAAAGAAATACCCATCTCTGATGTGGGTACTATGCAGGTGACAACTGATATTTAATAAGTGATGGTTCTTGTATTAGTCGTAGTTCACTAAAGAAAATGTCTCGGATTGCTTTTGAAAAACTCCTAACGTCACTAGCCCAAAGGCAAGATGTGACCTTTTTATTACATAATGAGAATCATTTATTATCTTACAATGTATCTTAAAGTCACAGACAAAATGCCACTTTGATAATTGCTTTCAATTAGCTTTGAGCATAGCATACATTCATAAAATGTCTTCTCTAATTTAGACTTGAATTAGAGAAAATTGCAGACATAATCTACTTTAAGGTTGTCTCATTTAAGGTGATTCGTAGTTCTATATCAAAGAAATCAAAACGGGTGGCTTTAGAGCAGTATTACAAAGTGTTTTAAATAGTCTTTTCAATATTTGAGTCTATTCTATTAACAATTAATTAACAAATTAGAATGCTAGTTCATCTTTTTGGACCTTTTCTTGTGTATTAACTTTACACTTTTGTTCAACATGGCTGTTTTGAAATTAAGTGCTGTCCTATGGTAAAAGAGTACAGCTTGATTAGATGTATAAATAAAGCATGTAAAGACATAGCTTATATCTTAATAATAGGCAACAGCTTGGTCTGTCAGCATGTATGTTCTTTCCAACTTTTAAATTCTTCCTCAACAGCAAGCAATAAATCCCACACTCAAAAATGAAGATTGAATATTGGCATGTGTTTTATTATATGTGATTTTTCTACTTTTTTTGTGTTTAATTTATATTATTTGTGGAAAAACAATTACACATAGATTGGTCTACTGCATATGGAACATCATTCGTAAAAAAACACAGGTATTTTCCTTTCATCTTAGATTAAATGATGCAGGTCTGGAAGTCATATATAAAGATAAATCAGGCATCTCAGATAGTTGGAACTGAACTAGCTCAAGGGATAACTCTGTTTTTCTTCTTTCTTCCCCAGATAAAAATTACTCACAAGAACCAAGCCCCCATGCTGATGGGACCACCTCCAAAAACTGGTCTTTTCTCTTCTATCATCAAAAGAACAAGGAACCACAGCAAGGAATAAGCCTATGTAGTTTAGTTAAAAAAAAAAACAACAAAAAAACAAAAAAAAAGAAACCACAATTAGCTTTGTTGGGCTTTGGAATATTTATGCTGGAAATCTTTCAAGAATTTTAGAATATCTTCTATTTGCAAAATCTTGGATTTTGGTTTAACCGTTCTGTAGCTGAGCTGATGTAAAACTATGCTACTAGAAAAAAATGTTGTCACAGTTTTGTAGGCATTTTGCATGGTGAAAGCAGATGTTTACATACAGTGAAACAGCATATTTTTTGTTGCATGCGTTACCATGTACTAATCTATGGTCTAATTCTGCCATGGAGTATGGGAAAAGAATGTCATGGGTAATTTGATTTTCTCTCTTTTCCTCTTCAGCTTTTTTTACTACAATTAACATATGCCAAAAGTTCAATACTATCTCCTCAATCAAATATCTTTGACTGAATAGTCAATCTGACCTGTTTCAGAGTAAAATCATTGCAGGTCTCATTCACCTGTATTTTTAGTTTATCATTTCTTTCTACCCTGAGAATATTTTTATTCAACTAAGTATTAAAACCTAGTAACTTATTCTGATAACTCCTATGTACATGAGTAACTGTACCTGCTGAAAACATCTAACAATATGCACAGTATTCAAATGATCATGGTTGTTCTTGTGTAGGTTTTTGTTCAGATTACAAGTTGATGAAAGTTGGAGCAAAAATGGAGACTAAGAAGATCATGCTGAGTGAAGATAATAATACTTGCAAACTAGCCATCATTGTTTGTTGAAACCCTAGAATTATTTTCATGAGCAATACATTTCTGTAACATGGTAAACTTTAAATCATTCTGCACATTGACCAATAGCTTAGTGCATATGCACACAAATAACCAAAGCTCATGCCTAATTAAAGTGCATTTCCCACCAAAGATTTAGTGAAGGATGCTTCAGAGAAATGGGTTAATGCATAATTAATCAAACTCGCTGGAGTAGACTCACTTCTGAAAATTTACAGTTCTTTTGATTGCATTGTCAATGTCCAGACAAATGGGGTTAGGGAAAAACATTAAATTAATTTCAAGTAAATACTCACTTTTCATTTGTTCCATGAGTTGATTGGCATAGTAACATATGCTAAATATTGAAACATAGGGATGAACTCTAAATATTGGAAACTTAAACTTATATTTTTTGTCATAATAATTTATAAATTTGTGCCATCCATAATTACTCATCCCCTAAGTTAATCTCTGAAGGAAATGATGAACTGTTGTCTATTACCCTTTTGTAGTCTGCTATCTGGAATCCAAAATTTCTTGTCATAAATTTTGGTGAGGCAGTTGCTCAGGTTTTAACTTTCTTAGCTCTCTGAGAGACTTCCTAAGAGCTTGGAAAACACAATACGGGGGTTTGTCTGAGGTTTGCACAGCACTGTCTAATGTTGAAGGGAAGTCCAAGAATGGCAAATTTTTTAGTCTTGCATATTAACAATCTCAAGACTTTTTGTGCAGTCTTAACATTGTTCTTTGTTCAAAGTGAGCTGCTTCTCAGCTCTGCATGTCTTAAGTTCTCAGAGATTTCATAAAAAAACAAGGAAAAAGTAAAACTTTGCTTGAAATGCATGATTTCCCATTTTTATCCAGACTTCAAAATGTTAATTATTTATTAAATCTATTTTTATATTGATTCATTCATCCATTTTAAAAATAATACTTCATCATGCTGTAGTGCACGGTACTGTGCATGTATTTAAATAAAGTTAATATCATTTATTTGTTCCTCAGTATAAGAATTCAACAGAGTCCTAATTTATATAATAGACACTAAAATAAAAGTCAGTATATAGTTGGTAAGGATTATGTCTTTGAAATATACAGTCTATGTTCTGTAAACATTAGGAGGTAAATGCCAATTAATGTTTTGTTCAGCATTAGGTAGAAAAATATGAAGGTGATTATTCGCTAAAATTAAGATCTTGTAATTCACCATTGAAGGAATTTGCTGATATAATATTACGTAAAGTGTATATTGGTTTTATGAAATTATGGTTACAGGTGATAAATATTTTCACATAACTTGACATAGGATTTTCTACCAATGCTATCAACTTTTTGTGGCGAAAATGTGTTTAAGAACAATATATAATGTGTTCTCTATGATTATATCATGAACATTGTAACTCTGAAAACAAATAAAATTATACATAAACTATTACTTAATAATGTATGCAATTTTAAATGTGTCAGTCTGTGATAGCAAGTTGGTCACAACACACCTTTTTATGTAAAGAGGGATAGCTGAGTCCATGCCTTTAGAATTACATACAGTTCTGAATAGACATAAAAAGTAGATCAGTTGGTTGGCATATATAAATTCTCACTGTAACAAAATACAGCAGAGCAGCCATTATACTGAGTTAACAGTTCTCATAGCAGAGATTGCCTTTCTATTAATCTTGGTTTGGGTTTTTTTAGCATGGCCTCTAATAATTTAAAACTATTCTCAGGTTGAAAGTATTGATGGTGAAGGGAAAATCTTAGAGTACATAGAACATAGTATGAAAAGAAAATGGTTGAGTTAATGAGAGAGAATTTAAAAAGGGAAGATTCTTCAGTATGCACAGGACTAATATGAAATGATTCATTGGTGTAAGAAGTGAAACAAAGAATATATGCATATATCTACATGCAGCTGAAATAGATGCACTGTTCTTAGGTTCACTGAAGAGGGTATCTAAACCTTCTACTCTTCACACTGAAGCATTCCTAAAGGCTTCATTAGTGACATTTGCAATGTAAATGACAATTAAAATATATAGGTATTAAATGTGACACTAGATTTGCAAATCTCTGATCATTGACTGTCAGCTGGGCAATGTGCTGACAAAAGAACATGATGTCTCAGGAAAACACTCCATCTTCTGATAGTGGTCAGAGTCTTTCACGTGCGTTCCTGTTAAAAAGAAGTGGAAGAAGTATTTATTGCAGACACAAATAGAAAATTACTTTTTCCAGTACTTGTAAGATATTTGTATGCAAATCATCACAATAGTCTAAATCTAGCTGTAAGACCTCATGATTTAGGCTTGTTGGTATGCCTGTGTATATGTTCATGGCAGACCATCTAGCCTGCTGGTACACTCAGGACTCTGATAAGACAGGAAATACTTAGTTTCTGAAACAGGTCTAGGCTTTCTACTACATTTGCTCACTTTTATCTTAATCTTCTCTAGGATTGCATGTACATCACAACAATGACTAGCTAATATCCAAAATTATTTAATGCAAATAAAGTTAAACAAATAAGTTTTGGAATATCAGTGTAAGAAGGAATCCAGTCAGCTGTGGTAAGAAAGGCAGAAAAATTCATTTTTTATTTTCCTAAATCTTTAGGTTACTATTTGTTTGCCAAGATTAAAGTATTTTAGTGATTATTAGTGATTTAGGGTACTAGTGGTACTTTACAAGTTACTGCCTTTAACCCCAACTGGCTTCTGGGGCTTGTAATTTTGAGGCAGACCATAGCAAGACCAAGACTTTCTGGAAAGTAGACACTTCCAAGAGGTGGTGTCCCTCCCCTCTCTGTAGGAGTGACTGGGAAAATGGCTATAAAATGGAAGAAAAGAGATCAGGAAGAATTATCTCTAGACAAGGATGTAGGAGAAGATCACAGAACTCTTCTGTGGAAGGAGAAAACAGATGCTTAAAGTGAAGTGTGATGCAGTGGCATCCACAAAAATGGCTGTGGGACCTGGGAGGCCAGATGAAGGCACTCAGGGCTAATGAGCAGCAATGAGCTAGATAAATGGGTTAATTACATTTATCTGGAGAGCCCTTCTGTTTAAGGCTGGAGGAGTAAAGCAGGATTTCTTTGCTTTGGAAGCAGAAAGACCCAGAGAAATTTGGGCTGAAATAGGTAATACAACCAAGCCTTTCACAGGAAGAGGGAAGCACTTGCAAGCAAAGGGGAGCTGAAGGATTGTCAAAAGAAGGTAAAGGACTTTCCAGAACTTTATCTATTTCTTTCATAACCTGAAGAAAAAGAAGAAGAAGAAAATTCACCTTTGCAAAACAGCAGTTTGCCAGGCTACTAAATGGTTAGCCTGAAAATAAATAAATAAATTTAGAAAGCTGAGGTGGGCCAGAGGAGCACAGCTCAATGTTTTATGCAAGAGCGGTGAAGAACGTGTCGGCCTGTTGTCAGCTAATTGCTGCTTGTCTCCATCTCCATCAGGTCTGAAAGCATTCTGTTTTCTCTCTGTCCATAAGGAAGGAAACTTCTTGTGGTCCTGCTGAGGTGAGTAAAAGCCTTACTGTAGCCCTGGCTGGAAAATGAATAAAACATGGGCAAGACCTGGAAGCTGTTAATGAGAAATAAAGTAATAGCTTAAAATCCGTGGCATGTGAGGCTCTTGAGGGTGTGCTGTGCAGCAAATGAGGTAAAAACTGTCCTCATGTCTGTCAGGGTTTGCTGATGTCTGACCAGCCTGCACTTGTGCCCTGGGGAGCCTGATGGCTCTTATTCCTCCTTTTTGTTCACACTATGGATTTTCAGTTAATTTTGAAGAAGGGGGGGTTGCTCTCTTCTGTTTTGTGTGTGTGTGTGTGTGTTTATGGAGGTTTTCCATTATCAAGTTCTCTGAACTTTACAAATACATATGAAGATGAGAAGCTCCTCTATGACCATTGACTTCCATTATGTGAAACTGCCTTACAGCTTGAAGCTATAAACAGGCAACAATACTTCTAGGCATCTAGATTCTAGGTATGGTGATAATCAGAGCCTGCCTTCTTTCCTTTCTGATTCATGATTCAAAGAGGCTCCCTGAGAAGCACCTCAGGGCTCCCTTTAAATGTGACTCATAAAAAGAGTAAGTGATAATCATCAGGCTTTGTTATTTATAGAAACAGGGTAGCTGTGTTGATGGTGCCCACTCTAATAAACATGGGAAATAATTTACTGGGTTTGAGTGATAAAGAAATACTTTGAAGTTTTTGGGTCAATTTTTATTCTAGTGTTGATATGAAAATACTTAGCTGCTGATGGACCTCTTTGAAATAAACTTTTTTTTTTTTACTAGGGTAAAATTTGCATTAATAAGCTGCTTTTTTGGACAGGAAAGTGAACACTTGTTACTCTTTTGGTGAAAACCATCTTTATGAGCCAAGTTGTGCCAGCTAATAAGATAATTGTCAATCTTCAGGGCTGTCAATCTATTTACATTAAATATACAAAAAAAGGCTCAGCCAGCCAAACCACATTATAACAATTCTTCTTTGGACTATTTGTACCTGCAGAGAGAGACTGGTGATAGCTTTGTTCCTTGATGAGGTGAACATTGTAACATGAGCATTGTCTCTGTAATTTCTGCCCAGCCATGAGCCACTGTTGCAAAGGATGTGGTATAGGGTTTTTCAGTGTGGTGTTTTCATTTGTTGGATTTTTTAGTAAATATAAATGCATTCTAAACCTCTCTTTTTATCCCAGAATGATATCCCAGAATTCAGACTTTGATTCAGACAGATATAAAATATGTTTATCATACCATATGTAGGGCAAGCAAATGCAGGAAGAGCTATTCCACCTAAATTGAACTTCCACATGTTTCAGTTCAGTCTTATTATTAAAGGAAAAAAGATAGAACTTGTTAATTTAGGTAGCTTGAGAGAATTTGGGGGGGAGGAGGAAGTGTGGGTGTGTGGGGCTTTTCTTCTAGTAGTATGCCCTTGTTACAGCTAAATATACATATAGATTAAGGAACTTTTACCTCATTGATATCAATCACTGTTTTGTTTGACTATAATCTGAATACTGATGGAGTGGGTTTTTTTGTTGTTTTGTTGTGTTGTTTGGGTTTTTTTTTCTGGAAAACTAGCTTAATCTTTCTTTCACTGTTTCAATACAAATAGTTTACAAAAAACTTTGAAAGATTTGGTCCAACTGCCTGATTTACAAAGTCTAAGCTTGGACTGAGATGCAAATTCAGGCCTTCATACTTTGGCAGTAAGTGTTGGTCAAAAATTCCTTAACTTCTCTTTCATCAAAATTCATTAAATTGTGTGGATGATCCTATCGTCCCTAATCAATAAGTTCTTTCAGTGGATTCCCATTTCAGAGCAAAATAAGACTTACTTTTTAAATGTCAAAATATTTTGTCCTTGAATGTCAAAAGGAAATGTAAGGTTTTGTTTGATTCATTACTTCTGGTTCATTAATGTAGTGATTAGCATTGTAGTGTAACTGACTTCTCACTTTAAAAAGCAAAATGTGAATAAAATGACACTATTCTTAATTCACTTCAAACATAATTCTAGTATTTCCTTTAAGAAAGATTTTTAATTCTTGTATTTATTCAAGATCCTGCAATAAACTTTCAAGCTTTGTGCCTTTACAGTTTACAGTGGAGTAAAAGGCTGCTCATCAAACTCTAGTATTTTTTCAAAATACTTGCATTTTTGGTATTCCAATAGGTACACATCTCCTAAGTGTTGCATTCAAAGAGTTGCTTTTTTATTGTTTCTCTTTTTTTCGGATAAATTTATAAGTACAAGTGTACCTGGTCGCTGAACAATGAAGGGAAGTTAGATTATTTATTGTAATTACTATAAAATAAGTGAATCACAGAAGAATATTTTAGAGTAGGCATTATAAAACAATTATTATATAAACAATAAAACAATAACAAGTTACTGACAAGGCTGATATAATGCTTGTTTTTATTTTAAGGTACAGAAGACACTGTAACTTAATTGAAAATAATCATTCAATCACGTTGATAAGGCATATATATGTCACTGTAATTCTCAATCTTTTAGGTGAATTATCAGCTACTGCTGTGTGATGGATAATCTGTGAACTCTTTTTTACATCAAAGTTACCCAAAACATGTACACTGTCTGAAGTTTTGCTAGCTTCTTTTAGGTCACTCTACTTTTATCACTAAGTACTGTCTACCAGATGTCTAACACAATTGATACTATGTTCAAATTCTTGCTGTGACAATCATCAGTTTTATTTTTATGATCTTGGAACGCCAGGTTAGTGGACTTGCATGAGGTTAATGGAGATTTTAGAAAATGTTACATTTCTTTGGCACAAGATAAGGTTCCCTTCTGATGGGAGTCCTGTCACCTTTTAAGATATAGCAACTTCCTCTGTCAAAGAGTTGAGATATTAGCCTGTGCAAAATGATTTACAGTTTTTCCATGGCTTGCCTGCTGAATCTTAGGCAAAAATATAGATCTTATGGCAGATGCCAATTGTTTCCTTTTGGTATACATGTAGAAATATGTATCACCGTGAGAACTAGTGAAAGCATTCAGATATAACCAGAAAAGCTGTGCTGGCAACAGAGAGCAGTGCTCCATTTCTGGAGTCAGGCTCGGGCATAATTTTGAGTGTCCAGAAATGGGTTAAACTCCCTTTATTCGTTTCTAGGGTGACTTCTGCCTAAAAATGCAAGCGTACAAGTAGGTATTAAAGACGTCTGTAACTTGCTGCTGTGAATGCTCATACGTCTGCACAACATTTCTGCTGTTTTCTTATCTCAGATATAGCATGAATGGTAATTTTTAACTGTGCTTCCTCCACAAAGCACAGTGAAATAGCACAGCATAAAAGCAGATTTTAATAAGTGCAATTAAAAAATGTGCTAAGGAACCCAAGATACTTTCTCGTCCAACATCACAGGACATTAAAGGGATTTGCAGGGAAAGAAAAAAAAAATCACATAATGCCAATTCCACCTATTCTCAGTAAAAGTTTCCAACACAGAGGAATTCTAGCCAAATTGCAATGTCATTGATTGCTTCATTCTAACTTGTTCACAAATGAATTTAGATAGTTCCTACAATATGATCCTTATCAGCCACAATTGCATAAGGGGGATTGAGACTGTTTGGGCAGATCTGGTTCCCTTTATACCCGTGCCATGCTATTTCTGCCACCAGTGGGGATCCCTTGAGAGCATTTCAAGTCCTAGTGTAGAATGTGATATTAAGTCATAGTTTTGGAGACTTTGATTGAAATAGAGCCTTGGTTGAGACAATTTAAACTTAAGGATGTGGATGTGGAGTTCCAACTGCACTGAAGTCCTTGAAAGCCTGGGTTTTATCCCTGCCGTCTTGTGGTAGGGCTAGGAACATCTTTCCTGCCCCAGCTAAAATGTCTGCAAAGAAGTTCAAGTAAGAGATTGAGCAGTTATGTGCATTCACACCTCTGTAAAAACCTACTGAATGGTTGCACCTGTGAAGTTTCCCCACACCATTAGCGACAAAATGAGGTCACCAGGTCTCTTCCTTTCAGCAGAGTGCTCATGTTTTCCTTTCTCACTCTTCTGTGTCCTTAGCAATCCTGTATTTCCATCTTCAAAAGCATTAGCTTCAACATGCTGTATTAGAATATGTTTTCATCTACACAGTTCTGTAGGTTGGTGGCTCGGCACTAGGCTGAGGAATGGAAATTTTTAATTTCTCAGGTTAAGGAACAAATCAGACTCTGGTTTTCTAGCAAACACTTCAGTGCTGCAAGTGGTGTTTTAAGAGAGTCCTGCTCAGTTAAAGACCTGTCTTAAACTCCACCCTCCGAATCTCAAAGGCATGAGAATTTTCAAGCTCCAACTAGGTGGAGTTCACACATCACTGTTTTATTTTGCATCTGCCAATTCACATGTAAATTTTAGGGATTCTGTGTGTAACTGTGCCTCTTCTCACTATTCAGAGCCTTAAAAATCTACCCTTAATGTTTGAATCACCCTGCTGGGGTAATGTAACACCGAACTTGAGTATGAATGAATACATAGTTGCTTTGAACACAGCTTTTTAGGACTTCAGCAGAATATTGACTTGGTAACAAATGCTGTGCTGTTGCCTTAAGAGGCCCTGACACAGTGCTGCAAAAACCAGGTCTATGTACAGCATAACACAACCCACTCCTAATTATTTCTGCCTAAAGTAGCTGCTGCTGTTGGATTTCTTGTCTTTCATGCTTAAAACAGCAGTGACGCAGTAGTGAGTCAGGCCTTTGCCAGTGCTTCAACTGCCAGGGCTAGGTGCTATATAAAAACATTTAAATTTTTTTTTTTTCTAAAAGCTGACATGTGTGTAAACCTTGATTAGGATGTCACAGGTCTAAGGTATGCAAATGGTGTACAAAGAGTACATCTTCAACCTCCTACATTTACATGCTGCTTTTTGTTTGCAGTATCAGCTAATGTCTGTGTACTCTGACTTCTGTTTTGTAATTTTTTTGGCACCCACTGCACACCTTCAAGCTTGCTCTGTCTTATGTATAAAACC